AAAGCCATTACCTGAATGATGTATAGGGAAAGGGGGGCTTTTTCAACAGCAGGAAAAGGCAGGCACTCTGAAAATCCAAGGTTTAAATATATTTGGAGCCAAAAGTCCATGCAGAATTAACTCCAGTAACAAAGATTCATTCTAGTCATATGCTTTATTGTCAACAATTTTACTACCATAGGCAGAAATGGCATAGAAGGGAAAGAGACGTTTTCAATTATGTGAATCCACAGCTCACTATTTTTTCTCTCTCCTTCACTGCAGCTCGACTTGTCCTCTCAACCTTCTGCCGACCCAGGAAACATTCCTACCCGTCCCCTGATGATCCCTGTACAGGTGGCGCCTTTTCACTACCTGGTACTGGGCATTGTGAAGTTAGAAGAATGATCTCTCCGCTGTCTGCATAAGCTGTGGGCAGCCTTCAGAAGACCTTGACCAGACCGGTAAGAACCGAAACATCTAACAGTGCCGAGCCAACGATATATGCGTACAGCAACCAGACTCTTCCACATAGTTAGTGGGAGCGTAAATTGGCATAAGCACTTTGGGAAAAACAAGTGGGCATTCTCTAGTGAAGATGAAGATGTAAATATCCCACAGCACAGCAACTGCACTCCTAGGCATGTGACTCATCAAGCTTCTACAGTGCGTCTGCACCATGCTGAGAACTAGAGACACAAAGATGGGCAAAACCGGGAAACAGAGAACTTTCTGTAATGATGGAAATGTCACATCTCTGGACTGTCCAACATGGTAACCATTGGCTATGTAATGTGGCTAATGCAACTGATGAGCTGAAATTTTAATTCAGTTTTAATTAATTTTAATGTAAGTAATCACATATCATTAGTGACTATCTTACTGTACAATGCAGTAAGACATTCAAGAATAGATGCCCCAAGATATATGGAGCATGAAATGAAAAATAATGTTCATTTCAGGATTGTTTGAAATACATAAAACAAAAACAACCCAAATGTCTAGCCATAATAAAACTCATAAACTGCAGCACATGCTGCAGTGAAAAATAAACGAATTCCATCTACATGCATCAGTAGCTAAATCTGAAAAATGGTGTTGAGGTGGGGAAAGTCACAGAAGAATTGAGAATATGATGCATTTTTACAAAGTCCAAACACAAGTATAACAAGTATTTGGAGATAAAAACATTAGCGGTGGTAGAGCTATGAAGAACAAAAAACAAAACGAATAAAGGCCGGCTGAGTGGTGCATTGGTTAAGATCTGGCTTGGGACGCCAGCTCTGAGCAGCAGGGCCCCGGTTCGGATCCCACATGAGGGC